GGAGGGCTGACCTTGTAGACCAAAGGAAAAAAAGACTTCGTTTGAATCACTTACATGCTAGTAACTCTTAATAACTCCATTCAGCTTTTCTGAAACAAACTCTCAACAGTACATGGCTGGGTGGGTAAATGGTTAAAATGACTTGAATAATGATCTGGAAAATTGAAGCTCTGTGTAATTAGAAAAAGCTACTTTTAGATAACAGCTTAACTGCATATCCTTTGACGCCAAATCTTTTGCAAAGGTACGAAAAAACAAAAAAAACAAAAAAGAAAAGGAAAGCTACCTGAAATGAGTTTCCTAAGCTGTCAGCTTCCTGGGCAATGCTCAGAACCAGCATGCTAGTCTGCCAGGAGGCAGAAGAATAAGCCTGGAATAACCTGCCAGCAGGATACCCAGTTCCTGACCAGCAAGAAAGGAAAAGAAGTTCTTTCTGAATTCCCCCTTTTTTCTGGGGTTATGTAGAAAGCCACCGCTGAATCCAGGGGCGGATTAACCAGTAAGCATGATGCGCACCAGTTTACAGTAAGCAAGGTACCCATGGGCTTAACTGTGTCTACTTACTAATCTGTAGTGCACAATTTCACCTGGGTTTTACCACATCTTTGTGCACTACAGATTAGTAAGTAAACACAATTAAGCCTGTGCCTACCTTGATTATTGGGTAATCTGTCCCTGGCTGAATCAGATTTCTTGGTACAAAGGAAATTCCTCCCCCAAGAGGGTAGAACAGCTAGAGGGTTTGTACATACCACAGGAATGTTTATGATTTTTCTCTGAATGTTTTGCCTTCACAAAGGCCATTCCCCAGCTCACAATGGGAATTGAGAACAAAGTCCCATGTGAGTTTGGAGGATAAAAGTTTTGACAATGACAGGCAAAAGTCCGAAGTCTGACCAGTATACAAAAAGGCTATTCCCACCTCCACAGCCAAGGACTCCTGTTGCTCTGAGCACAATAACTAAATCTACAGAAAACCAGTTGCCATCCAGTCAACTATGACTTATGGCGACCCCATGTGTCTTAGAGTAGAACTGTGTTCCACAGGTTCCAATGGTTGATGTTTCGGAAGTAGACAGCCAGGCCCTTCTTTCTGAAGTGCCTCTGGGTGAACTTGAACCTCAAACTTTTGGTTAGCAGCCAAATGTCTTAACCATTTGTACCACCCAGGGACTCCAATTCTACACAAGAGACCCCAAAAAGGGTGAGGGAGACAGGACACTAGACTGGAAGACAGAGGGCTGGGTTCTCACATGAGCTGAGGGGCACAGAAAACTAATCCCTCCAGGCCTCGGTTTCCTTACCTGTAAGTGATCCCTGCCTTGCCCGCCACATGGGGCTATTCTGAGGATTAAATAAGATAATGTACAAGTTTGCAAAGTACAAAGCACTCTACTAGCTGCAAGGTTGGCGGTTCGAGCCCACCCAGAGGTACTTTGGAAGATAGGCCTGGCAATCTGCTTCTAAAAGGTCACAGCCTGAAAACCCTATGGAGCAGTTCTACTCTGCACACACGGGGGCGCCATGAGTCAGAATCGACTCGATGGCAACTGACGACAACAACCCTCATACTTGTTATAAGGAATATCTGAACTATACATGCTTTCTCTGGTTTCTGACCACACAAGTCATTTTGATTATGTGTTTTTGGGTCTTTGAGATGAGAAACAATAAAGAAAGGCATGTGATCTGGCTATGAAGTAGCAATTCATTCAACTTTCGTTGCTGCTCATTACCCTAAACATCCACATATTCATCAAAACCACAAAGCAACAAAATCCAGGGTCTTGGAGGGAAGGGATAGCCAATGCTTTTCAAATCACCCAATTCTGTTAACTAGAAAACTTGGTAGAAAAGCTGAGTTACCCTTGTTTCTTGCCAGGTCCTTTAGTTTAGAGAGATGATTTTCATCAGTGTCCTCCTTAGAATAAACTTCCAACCAAAAATATCAATTTGCAGGTCCTGCCCAGTTTATTATATTAGCCATTCAGAAACTTGTACTTATAGTAGAGAGGCACAAGAAAGCAAAGAAACCCCCAAACTCTGAAAGCTAAAGTATATCATGTACACATAATGGATGAAGGCAGCATCATAGAGTCTCCATAAATGCAGAATGTCTCCTGGGCTGGAAGCAGAAAGAGCTATATTGTCAGGAACCAGCATGAAACAGAAAATTCTGACATTCTCTTTAGATGTGTTAAGTTAGAAGGCATTTGTGTATAATGTGTCAGCTGGTCACCATAAACAACAAGGTCAGGAGAGGGAGTGCAGGAGGCTAAACTGATGTATCTTCTGCTGGCCAGGAAATGAGAGAATCCTGGCTCAAAACCCTTCCCATCCCTGGGGCAGTGGGTAGCCAGTATATGAGTCTTGCAGACATCTCTCCTTCTCATTGTACACTCACCTGATAATTACAATTTGGATTCCCAGGTAATCTGCCTATAGAGAAAGCACAGCCTAGTCATGCTGGCCAAAGTCTTGTGGTCCCCATAGCAATTATATTTTTCACAGTAAATGAATACAGTAGCATTCTGGTTTATACATCAGTCTCTTGTAAGCTTAGCTAGTGTGATTCTGTCCCTGATTGACTGAGCCACTCTTGGGTGTATTAAAAAAACCAAGTGTCTGAGGCTATTAAGGCTAAATTCTAGATAAATTCTAGATAAATGATCTGTGCTAGAGTATTACTGTGGTCCATGGTCAAACTAGCTATGAGGACTCTTGTCTACCTGATAACTGGCTTTCTGCCAGATAGTAGAGTAGATAGAGTATATTTTAATTCAGCATACTAAAACATATATTGTAAGAAATACATGCCTTTCTAGCTTTATTTGATCAGGTCATTCTTGAAGTTCATCTTTGCCTTTTCAATGCTCCTCTTACTACTCTTAACACTCTATCTTAAAAAATATTCTAAAAGTTGCCCCTAAATATAAGCTAAATAACCATTTACTGAACATTTACTATCCTGAGTGTAAGTACTTTATATATCAGTGTATTATTTCATTTCAGCCTTACTAGAACCTATGAGCCAAGCATTATAATTCCCATTTTATAGATAAAGAAACAACTGAGGCTCAGAAAGTTTAAGTAGCTTATACAAGAGCACACACAGAGTAGGTGATACGATTAGGATTTGAAAGGAGGTCTACGTCACACCCAGCACACTATATGTTACTAACAATTATCAGATCTCTGTCCGGCTTACTTCCCTGGGATCCATTTCATGGAACTCAAGACGAAGTTATATAACCTCTTTCCATCGTTGTGCACATGTGCCCAGGAGCTCTGCTTTCTTTCCCTGTGCCATCATAGGAGATACACAGGCAGATCCCGAATTTGGCCCTGACCCATCAGGGGTTCATAGGATTGAAGCTTAGCTTTACACAAGCTCACATTACTACTCTTTTCTTATACCTATTTATCTTATCCGGATTGTCTGATACAGTTTGGGGCTATTTTGGGCCTTTATTTTTTCACATGAGTACATATAATACCATGGTAACCAAATTATATTTTCATTTATTCTCATTCCATTTTAGGTTTGGTATTTAAATAACCCAGCTGAATGTGAATCCAAGTATCTTATCCCTTTAACTACTGATTTAACCCCCTACCTCCCCCATATTTGCCAGTGTTTTCTTTCTAGTTTTAATTTCTAACTGGGAAGATAGTGAAAAGGTGCTTTGGGATTATTATATATTCATTTTCCTTTGAGCTCCAACACCACTGCTTATAATTTACAGCGAAGACAAGCACTGTCTTCGTAAGTGTCTCAGCCACACCACTCTTTCGTTCCCACCTCCACAATGCAAATCAATTTATAAAGAGAGTAGCAAGATAGCAGGAAGGAAAACAGTATTTTAGCAATCCACTGCCCTTTTTCCTCAGTTTTCTAAGAATGGGGAGGATAGAAATGTATCAAAGCAATGATGTTTATGTTCCTAAGATGATGTTTATGGACACGCAGAGGGCGAACATGCCTGGGCACTGCCATAATCGAGCGGAGGTGGGGGACTGTTGGTTATTTTCAGTATGTATGTACCCTATTTTAGCTAAACAGTCTCTTGTTGGTAGATATTTAGGATGGTCCCAATATTCCACTATTGCAAACTACACTGTCATGTGCCAACAGTGACAGCAAGCACTCATACTTTGTTTATCAGACACTGTTCTAAGTGCTGTACAGACAGTATCTCATTTAATCATCACAAAGCCATGTGAGGGAAGTACTATTATCATCATCTGAACTTGAAAGAAGAGGAAACTGAGGCACAAAAAAGTTAAGTGACTTGCCCTGGGTTACAGAGCTAGTAAGAGGTAGAGCTGAGATCTGAACCTAGGCTGTCTGGCTCCAGAAACCCCACTCCTGAACATTAGGCTATGCTAATCCTTAGGTGGGAAGAGTCTAATGGAACCTTTGGGAACTCAGGCAGCATAAGTTTAGGTAAATCCATCCATTAGATGAGGACAGGGGTTCTTCTCTGCCCTCCAACCCACCCCACTGCCGCATCCCAGCACCCAGAACAATGGCTGGCACATGGCATATGTTTGATAACTATTGACTGACTAAATGAGTAAGTACAGGAATGAATGATTTCCTCTTAAATCAAAATCAATAATGCATTTATATGGTACTACCTATTCTGACGGGAGTGTTCATGATCTGGGATGACTGTCAATGACTTAAATCTCTCAACTGCAGTTTGGGAAAAACTCTATGTTTTGCCAAATCCTCTCACTATGACTTGAAACAGAAAGGACGTTGTCAGTGCATACAGCCAAGCGAGCGCTCAGAATTACTAGTACCTTTACGCGCATGGGTGGTGGCTAGGTTTCGGTGGAAGGGAAATTGATACGTCTCTTTATGTTTAAAAGCACTGTAATTATCTCAGTTGCTTTGAAGCCAGGGAAAAGTGGGAAAATAAATATTTCACAGAAGCACATTAATGAGAGGTATAAGCAACTTCTCCCAACAAACAAAAAGGGTGTATATTCACCTGTTCTGAAAAAAACTGGAAGCCCTTGTCCTCACGGATACACTCGTATGTTTCTCCAAGAACTGGATTAAACGGCTTGCTCCCAGCCCGGAAGTAGCTCGACGCATATGCTGATACCGCAAAGGCCGCCACATACACCTAGGATTGACAGGAAGGAACTTTCTGTTATTTCTCTATCACCAAGAGATTTCACAAACAAAGAAATAAACAAAATAAAATCTGTATTTCTCTCTCCGTTGTTTTATTTCAGAAAGCCAAAGATTTGTGTCAGTCGCAGTTTCAAACAATGTTCATTTGGCCCAGAAACACATTAACCAAGCATTTAAACACTGTCCATTGGTTCTGACGCCTAAACGTTGGTAGAGGCTATCAAGATGGTGATATTTATAAAACAAATTACCCCGTGTTTTGAACTGTTAAGCCCGGCATGATTTGAAAATCCTGATATCCTTCTAAGGATTTTTTGGGGAGGGGATAAGGTGGGGAGTGAGAAAGGAGCATAAAAAAAGCCAGACAGCTCTCAAAATTTAGGAATAAGCATCACAAGTTTAACCGTTCACTCTTTGATACTGTAGAAACCTAAAAGCTTAGTCTGATGAAAGGAAATCCGTGAGAGTCATTTCCTGAGCCTGGGAAACAACCCACACGATAGAGCACAGTCCCTTTTAAAAAACTCTGTTTTCCTGGGAAGAAAAATGAAAAATCAAGAAGGAAAACAATAGTGAACACGAAATGCATAAAACCCTTTAATGGCCCTCTCTGCCAAGCTGTCACCATTTTTATCAGCTCCCCTCTAATACCCATCCCTCAGAGCCCCGAAGACACACGTTTTTCTTTTCCCCTCCCCTCCCCCTTCTTTCTTTTTCCTTCCTTCCTCCCTCCCTTTTTCCCTCTCGCTCTCTTTCCTTCTTTATTTTTGCCAAGCAGTTAAACGTAAGTAGTAATAACCAACTTTCCTTTCTAATAATGAGCAACAGTCTCAATGTTTCTTCTTCCCAGCACATTTCATTAAGTTTCTCAAACTGAAGAAAAGCTGAATGCCTTTCATAAACGTTCTAGGGGCCATTGAGTGACTCCGACTCATGGTGACCCCATGTATGTCAGAGGAGAACTGTGCCCCACAGGGTTTTCAATGGCTGATTTTTCAGAAGTAGATCGCCAGGCCTCTCCTTCATGGCGCCTCTGGGCAGACTTGACCCTCCAACCTAGATACCTTTCAGATAGCAGCTGAGTGCGTTAACCATTCACATCACCCAGGGAGACTTCTTCATAAATGTTCATGAGTCACGTAACGTTTCCTAGCCTTTTGTAAAATTTTTGGTGTTGCCTGCAATAGGATCCAACTTACCACCTCACACTATAGGCTGTCCCAGAGCAGCTGGATAGCTGATAAACATCAACTCACTCTGCTCAAGTCACTCCCATCTGTAACTGCCTTTGGTTTGGAAAACTGGCTGTTTGTCCCTCTCTTTGCTTCCTCTATGTTACCTGCTAAACAGTATGGTCACAATGTCTCTATGGCCCGTTGAATCAACCTTCACTCATCTTCACAATTTAAAATAGAACAAAATTTATAAAAGAGCCTTGTGTCATTCATAACGCTGCGGGGAGGAAGGACGAGGAGCAGGCACTTTTTAAGCGGCGACATAGGACAATCTATGCTGGCGCATAAGCTGACCCGCGGAACAGTGAACAAAATCCATGGGTAGGGTGCCTGTTCAATGCTGTCTTGGACTTGCCCTTCCTAATGTGTTGTGCTGGGGTGTGCAGCCTTTCCCTAAACTTCTTCTTGAGGTCATTTATACCAATCACTGAGCTGAACATCCTAAGGGGCTCTAAACTGCCACAAGAACAAAACACTGTAAAGAATACTTTCATCTTCAAAGTCGGTTTTTTCTTTAAAGAGCTGCCCACAAACATTGACTTTTAACACTTTGCCTTAGAAGCCATTGCCCTCTCTTTTCTCGGCAGAAATTCTCTGGGGAAAAAGTAACAAAGAAGAAAAAACACACGGAGACTCCGGCAAGATGGCGGTCTAGGCAGAAGCACCACGCCGTCCCTCCACAACAAAGATCCGAAAAACTAAGCCAAACAGAGAATCAACAATCCTGAAACCC